CCTTCCTTCCTTCCTTCCTTCCTTCCTTCCTTCCTTCCTTCCTTCCTTCCTTCCTTCCTTCCTTCCTTCCTTCTTTCCTCTCTTCCTTCTTTCTTTCCTTCCTCCTTCCCTTCCTTCCTTTCCTCTTCTTCTTCTTTTTTTTCAGTTTTCTTACTACCCACCACTGCTCACAATCGAATGAGAACTCCCAAGCTTCATCAAAAGAAGGTGACAAATGCGGTCTATGAAACCTGAGGGATTTTAGGAATGAGAATGGGGAGGGAGATGAGGAGGGGAAGCTGACTAAAGAACAGTTATTCCCTTCAGATGTAGCCTTTAATAAAACCCCATGAAAAATTTTCTGAAGCCATCTTCATTGCCAGATGTTTCTGTGTGTATGCATGAGTTATTCAGATGGCTTTGGTAGCTTTTCCTGTGTTAACTCATGGGAAAAGTAGCTTAGAAGTTATGGTTACACACAAGGCCCAAGGGATGCCTACAAGCCACATACAGGCACCAGACTGTGACTATAATCCTGTTATAGTCATGGCCATGTGGTGGTTGGTCAAAAAGGACAAGATGTTCAATGAGCCAGACATGCCTTCCCTTCCATAGCCTATTACCATAAGATACTTAAGGCATGGCTAACAGGAAACTCCTGCAAAACAGTATAAGCCCAGAGATATTCAGACTGGAATCAGGACTTATAGTGTAGTGTAGTGAAGAGAGCTCCAGACTTGGCATCAGAAGAAACCTGAATTTGAATGCCAATTACAACACTTAATGACTGTGTGATTGCGAGTAATACACTTAACTAGTATAGTAATTTCTTTTCTTCAATGGGGGTTCATGCTGAGGGTCTGAGCTCATGAACCCCCATTGAACTTTCTTGAGCAGGAGAATAACATCATTGGATGTATTTCAGGAAGATTGTTTTGGCAGCTGTGTGGTAGATAGATTCAAGAGTCAAGAAATTTTATTATTGGATACTGGATATTTTATTTTTTCCAATTACATATAAAGACAATTTTCAACATTTTTACAAAATTTTGAGTTCCAGATTTTTCTCCCTCTATTCCCCTCTTCCTAAAACAGTAAGCAATTTGATATAGGTTATATATATATGTGCAATAATGAGATAGTAACGTCAATAGTTCCTCTCGGATAGGATTGTTTGGAAGCCCAAGTGAGATAATTAATATAAAGTTCTTTGGAAACCTTCAGATGCTATAGAAATAAAAATTGGTATTAGTAGGAAAACCCCTGAACTTGTAGTCAATGGGACCTTGGTTTTAATCTGACACTTATCAGTAAGCGAGTCATTTTATGTCCCAGAGACTTGTTTTTCTGGTCTGTAAAATGGGCATAATATAAGTACTTAGTTCACAGGACTGAGAATGAAATAAAAAAAAAACTTTGTAAAGTGTTTTGGAAACCTTAAATCTTGGCACAAATGTTAGTTATTATTATAATCTACTTTATTCCTATAGCAGGTCTTCATAGCTTGTATCAGTAACTTTGAAAGTTGTTTCCCTCTACATCTGGTCTACATATTCACAGAATGTCAGAATTGGAAAGGCTTTCAGAGGCCATTTAGTCCAGCACATGCCTGAACCAGAATCCCTTCTACAAATCCCTGACAAGCAATCATACAGCCTCGGCTTCTAGGCCTTAAGTGATGGAAAGCCACCACTTACTGAGGCAACCCATTACATTTTCAGGTAGCCTTAACTGGGAAGAAGGTTCTCTTGCCATCAGACATGACTGTGCCTTGACCTTTTCCACCCTTTGGTTCTAATTCTACCTTTCAGACCCAATCAGAAGAAATCTAATCACTCCTTCCACATGACAATCTGCTGGGGTCTGTTTCCAAGATCAAAGGGCATCATAGAAGAATCAGTAACCTAGCCAATGTTGAGGGCAGTGGGCCCTTTTGTATGAGGTGTTTTGGGGAAGGCCACAGTTGCTTAACTGGAGGCCCTCAAGGGAGGGACAGGGAGTCCTTGTGAACAAAGGAAGCATACCAGGGCACTTTAGATTCAAAGGTAGAATGTGAAGTTTGGATTCAGTCAAAGGGTCACACTTGAGGATCTAGAGGGCCATATGTGGCCTCAAGGCGGCAGGTTCCCCACCCCTGGCATAGATGATTTATCAGACAGGGAAAGAATATGACAAGTTGAAAACTTCTACCATGTCGTCTAAGACTTCTCCAAGCTGCTTTAATTAATCAGTAAGATGCATTGTGGCATAGTAAAAAGTCAGCATGACATAGTGGCCAGAGCACTGAAGTTGGAGCCTGAAAGACCTGGGTTTAAAGGCTATTTCCTATATTACCTATGCAGCCATAGTCAAGTCAGTGAATTATTCTGAGCCTCAGTTTCCTTATTTATTTATAAAATGGGGGTGATTGTAGTAGCTATCTCACAGTGCATTAATGAAGATTAAATACAATAATTAATGTAAAACTATTTGCAAACTTTAAATGCTATATACATATTAGCTCTTGTTGTTATCATTATTATTTTAATACTCACAAGGCATACACTCACAAGGTTTCTAGTCCTCTGGCCAGCTTGATTGCCATCTTCTGTATGGGCTCCAGCTTGTTCATTCTTCCCAAAATGTGATGACGAGAACTGAGCATATAATTCTAGGTGTGAGCTGACCAGGGAAGAAAATAGCAGAACAATTACCACTCTCATTTGGAACACGATGTCCATCTTAATGCAGGGTAGAAGAGCTTTAGCTGGCTTTTTTTGCTGCTGTATTTCACTATTGATTCATATTGAGCTTACAGTCCACTAAAATCCCAGATTTCATTAGAGAAATTATTGTCTAATATGCCTTCCTCATCCCATACTTGTGAAGTTGACTTTTCTAATTCAAGTTTAAGGGGGTGGGAATAGGGGAGGGGGTCAATCGATCAAATCACTCCACCCTACTTAAAGTAATCAACAAAATGCCATGCCACACTACCTTAACCAGGTAAGAATATCCCTATTGAATCAGTCAATCAAAGACTTTAGACTAACTGGGGAAAGTCCTTGAAAACTATTGGATAAAATGGAGTGATGTTGAATAGGAAGTATGTTTAGATTGGTTGTGATTTGGCCATGCCCCCTTTTAAAAATATATAACATAGCAAGACCCAAGTGTTTGAGTGGCTGCCATTGGAGAGGGGGAAAAGCTATTCCAGCCAAGCCCCTGAGATAGAATTATTTCAGAGGAGGAAAGAAGAGCCCCAGCCTCAGCCTCCCTCTTGGTCTTCTTCCCCCATCCCTCCTAGATGAAGATTTTGAAAGCTTCAAAGGGCCTAGATGATTTTGAACTTTGTATTCATATCCTAGCAGCATCCCCAGAATAGCAGTGCCTGGTGTCAGCGTCTGTGTCAGGAGTAGAGAATGCATTGAAGAAAAGCAATCCACGGAATCTACAAAGAACCTATAGCAGAAACTATACCATGCCTATGGGAAACTTCACTGAGTGCCTCCTAAAGGGGAGAAAAGGGCCTTCTACAACCAGAATCTGTGGCTTTACTCCTTTGCTATATGTGCTCCAAGCTTGAGCCAACTCTTCCCTGGTGTATGTCCAAGTGGAAGAGTATTTCATAAGCTTTTGGGGCAATGTTTTGTACACACTAACTGTTCTTACTGTGTCACCTTTGTGACAATTTGTGATATATCACCCTTTTCTAAAAGCTAATTAAGTCTGGCTGCCTAATGGATATCAACTGATAACCATAAAGAAGAGGCTCACTGGTGGGGGCACATAAGCTATCGAACTAGAATGACACCCTCCAGCCCCTCAGGATTAGCCCAGTCCCCAAAGGGTACAGCTGCTGAGCTCTGAGCCCACAGTAACAACAAGGTAGGGAGATAATAGCCCAGACTTGTACTTGAACTTTACATTCATCTGTATTCAGTTTTATGTTATTGGATTTAGCCCAATTTTCTAGTTCATTGAGGGTCATTTGGATCCTAACTCTATCATCCAGTGCTTTGCTATCTCTCCCAGCTTTGTGTTACCTACAGATTTTACAACCTCGTTTTCTATGACTTATTTCAAGTCACTGATAAAAATAACAGCAGAAGGCAAAAACAGATCATTGGGGCATTCCACTAAAGACTTCCCTCCAGATTAATACTATCAACCAAATAATGACTATTTCTTGGATTCTGTCACTCGACTAATTCTGAATTGAACTGACCATACTATATGCATGTCATGGTGGATAAATCATTGGTCTTGGAAACAGGAAGACCTAGATTCACATCCTGTCTCAGACACTAGATATATGACCCTGGGAGAGTCGCTTAATCTCTCTTTATGTCAGTTTCCTTGGGCTCTGTAATCCTTTCTAACTCTAAATCTATGAAATCTAAATTCTGCCTTCCCCCACCAAAAAAAAAGGGAAAAAAGATTTTTGAGATCTATTTCTCCTACAAGCTGACACAAATTGCTGAAATCTAAGTGTGTTCTGTCCATAACGTTCCTGTGATCTTCCAGGCTTGTTACTCTATTAAAAAAAAAAAAAAAGCAGAGGGGTGAGGAGGGAAAAAAGGAAAGGTAAGGGAGTTAATCTGGCATAACCTGTTCTTGATCAAGCCATGTTAGAGTTTCATGATGACTGCTTCCATCTCTAAGTGCTCCCAAACCATCCCTTTAACAATGTGTTCTTGAATTTTGCCAGGAATAGAAATCAAACTCACTGACCTGGAGTTTATAGACTCTTCCCTGTAATCCCTTCCATCTTCCACTGTTTTGAAAAAATCTAGACAACATTTGCCCTTCTCCTATCCTATAACGCCTCTGAAAGCTCCTAAAATCTCTCAGCTATCCCTAGCAGTGGCTCAATGAGCACACCTGACAGATCTATTTTTGTTTGTTTTGTTTGTTTTTCATTTCATTGAGATCAAGACTTGCTATCTCCTCCCTTATCTGACAGGTGATACCATCCCAGCATCTCCCTTGGACTCATCCCATTCATTCACTTGGCATGTGATAGTGAATAGGCCACTGGCCTTGGAGTCAGAAGACTTGGATCAAGTCCCAGATGAATGAATATGTTGCTTCCTGGTTGTGGGACTTTTGGTAAGTCATTGGACCTCCCTTTGCTGTTGATGAGTTTCCTCTCATGAATTCGTCTTATTACCCATGTTCTTCTGAACTTGAGATCTTTTAGCTTTGGAAATCATTCATTTTGGTAGATTGTACCAGTAACTCATAGATCTCTTTTTGAAAACAAGCGTATAAAGTTCTTAAATATGTATTCTAAAATATACATTGGTTACTCAGACAAATATATGTCATTATCCTCATTTAAATGAGAATCATATATTATACAAATATTATATATAACATTATATAACAATATATGACAATTATATAAATAATATACAACAAATAACAACACATGTAAAACAATTATAAAACAATAACAACTATTTTGCTTTTTTAGGAACTTAGCTTTCTAAGGCTAGACCTTTCTAAGCACGAGACCTGGAGTCAGGAAAACCTAACCCAGCTTCAGATGTTAACTAGCCACGTGACCTGGAACAAGTCAATCACCTTTTTTGACCTTTGAATAGCTTTTGATACTATTGACCAGCCTCTGTTCCCTCAGTTTCTCGACTTGGTTCTCTTTTGTTTCTCTTTCTATTTGAGGGACACTTCTTTTCAATCCATTTGACTGGAGTATCTTTCACCTACTGCTCTAAAAACAAGGTTGTGTCCCAAGTCTTATCTTTTTGTAGCTTTTCTCTTGGTGAATTCATCAACTCCCACTGGTTCAGTCATCACCTTTATGCAAATGAATCCCAAACCTATGTATCTAGATGTAATTACTCTTTGTAACTCAAGGTCTATATTTCTGACTGCCTATTATGTATTTCTACTTGGCTATCCCATAGATATGTCAAACTCAACACAGGCAAAATGAAATTTATTATTTCTTCCCCTAAACCTGCCCCTTCTCCAAACCTCCTTTAATTCTTTCAAAGGCACTATCATCCTTCCAGTCACTCAGGTTTGCCTCAGTTTCCTCATCTGTAAAATCATGAAAATAATAGCACCTACCTCCCAGGGTTGTTATAAGGATAAAACAAGATAATATTTGTAAAGTGCTTTGAAAACCTTAAGTCATTATATAAATGCTATTTATTATTATTATTATTATTAATTATTATGAACCACCACAATTTTACAGGTGAGGAAACTGAAGGTCAGAAAAATGAAGTGATATGGCCAAGGCCATGCAGTCAGGAAAGGGCAGGACCAATATTTAAACCCAAGTTCTTTGAATATAAATCCAGTGTTCTTTCCATCAGACTGTGAGCTCCTTGAGAGCAAAGACTATTTCTTGCCTTTCTTAGTATCCTAAGCACTTGGCACTGGGGCTAGCACATAGTAGGCACTTAATAAATGCTATTTAATTGATTGACTTTCCTCTATGCCACACTGCCTTTCTTGGCCTCAGTTGCCTTATTTATAAAATGGGGACATCTTGCTTCTTCAGTCTCTTTCAGTCTTAAAGTCCATGATTCCTGAATCTCCCAGGGATCTGGCCTTCCTATGTTCTGTGGATGAGAAGCCTCACCTCTACCTAGACACCTTGGTAAGGATAATACAGTGATTGCCACTACTGAGCTTAGCATGGTGTATTGCACACAGTAGGTGCTTGATAAATGTTGGTTGTTGATGAATATAATACCAGTGTCTCCCTTGCCAAATCCCTCGGAATAGGGTAAGGGACCTTATGTTCATCACATTATATAGAAAGATTCACTTAGATGATGTGCTTAATTAACTGGAGGATTGGTGCAAGCTTCATTTCTTCAGTACATCTGGGCCTTTTGAGGTGTAACTAAGGTTAGGAGAAATTGTAATTTGCCCGGTGTCACACAATTTAGGGCCACAGCTACAAAATATTACCCAGTAAGCACCGGAAGCCATAAACTATCAAAATAGGTTTGAATCCTGAGTAGGAAAACTCTGTATGAATGTGGCCTGGTATTTTATATCCAATAGCTTTAGAGTATTGAATCTACCCTAAATACCAGGAACCAGGAAATTTAGGGATCAGGTGAAATTATTGTGTGAGTTTTTCTAAGTTCTTCAAATCTCTGGCTTTTCCAATGTAAGTTATATAATAGAAAAGATGTTCATCAAGAAGTCTGGCATGTTATACTGACTGTCACTTTCTATATGGCTTTGAATAAGTCATTAAATCTCCCTAAGCTTTACTTTTCTATTAATTGGGAATATTAAAAATATCTTCAAAAGGCAGTTCTGCATAGTTTGGAAGGTGAGAATGCAGGTCCTGACTCTATCACATAAAAGCTATATGATCTTGGATAAATTACTTAATGTTCTGGTGCCCCAGGCAACTAAGTTATGACTTAAACAAAGGTTGTCAACCACACTGGTGGAAGAGTTTCCATATTGGAAATCCACAGAGTATATCACGTCTGAATAATGCCTGTACTTTTCCACAGTCATACCATGAAATTCAAATTAGATAATGTACATAAGGCATAAAAAACTATATGAATCTCAGTTATTATTTGTTTGATTGTTTGGATTCAAAGAGACCTTTGCTCTTAAAAATTACATAGGGTTACTGAGCACAACAATACCAGCCCCACTTAAAAAAAGATTATATATGAAACCTGCAAAAATCATATCTGTTATGCTTATACATATGTATGTCATACACTGATGGTATATATAGGCACTCAGAATATATATTATTTATATATATATTGCTGCATCCCAGGGATTTTAGAAAGTCTAAGAGTGAAAGTGTGTTTGTAGAGTGCTTTAGGGTCCACTGGGATGAGAATATCTCTGCAAGCATGAGTCATTACCATTAGACTAAACTACCCCCTTCCTATTACTGACAGCACTGAAGAGTTTTCTTCCCATCTTGCTGCCTTTGATCACCAGCTGCTAACATCGAGATATTAGGATAATGCTGCTATTCCAGGTGATTGGAAGCATTTATACCTTTATTAGAAACATCTGTACAGCAATGACAAGAAGCATCCAGTATGGCTCCTGAGGTAAAGGAGAAAGATGCTTCCATTACTGACTTTTATCACACTACCTTGTAACAAACATCAGCGCCCCATCAAGTACGGGGAATGTTTCTAGCTAGTGACTAGGAGAAGCCAGCTAGAATTCTGGAGGGGAATCTGAAGCAGTGTCTGCAGTGTTGAGAATAATGCTCTAAGGCCTTGGGTCTATGAACTTTTTTTTTACAAAAAAAAATTTGATAACTGAATTTCAGTGAAATTGACTCCCTTTATAATTCTATATGTTCCATTTTATTCATTTAAAAACATTATTCTAAGAAGGAATCCTTAAGTTTCATCAAAGTGCCAAAGTGGGCTAGGATTAAAAAAAAAAACCTGCTCTTGGGGTAACCTGGGAGTTCTGTTTTGCTTTTCGAGGTTACTCTGTAAATATATGTTCCAACGTGGCTTATGATAAGGCCCAGGTCTCCCAAATGTAACAGTCCTCCAGCAAGACTTGGGTTGGCTGCAAAGACCCAGAGAGCTGTAGGTCTTCCCATTGTAGGTACAGAGGAAAAGCTAATCAGGACTGGAGGGTAAGGAGTTTTCCCATCTAGGTGGAACTTGGAGGATCTCTTGAAAGGAGGTCAGCATGGCAAGAGAAGAGAGAGGCAAGTGGCGATTTCCCTCAGAGACCTATGCAGGAGCCACATCTGCAGTTCCCCTCTTAAAATCTAAATCCATGGGAGACTATAAGAAGTAAACTCTGAAGAATAAAGAGGTATGTGAGTGTGTGTGTGTGTGTGTGTGTGTGTGTGTGTGTGTGTGTGTGTGTTTTAATTGCAAGTCCGTACTGGTAGCTAGAGACCTGAGGGGAAAACAAATAAAAGCACCAGGTGGTCTTTTACACATTGCCCCCTACCTTCCTTTTCTTCTGGGTTTGGCGGGTACCAATTCCAAATTGTATTCTTTTGCTAAAGATTATGTTTGGGGGCGACTAGGTGGTACAGTGCATAGAACAAAGGCCCTGAAGTCAGAGGACCTGAGTTCAAATCTGGCCTCAGCTGTATGACTGTGGGCAAGTCAATTAACCCCTATTGCCTCAAAAAAAAGTGGGGGTGACTGCATATTATACTGAATCTCTATTACATATAACTTTGGTGTTTTTTAAAGCAGTACCCATACCACACTGCTTGTCTGTGTCTTTTCTGAACTTCCTTATGTTCTCTTCTGTGTATTTTTAAGAATGTTTCATTGACTTTTTTATTTCTTTCCCTTTTTTGCATCATTGTCTCTACCACTACACTCCCCAAAAACTCTCCCACACCCCCAAATAAAATCTCTTCTTTGTAATAAATAAGTGTAATCAAGCAAACCAAATTCACACATTTTTCATGTCTGAAAATGTATGTCTCATTCGATTTCTGCAAGTCCATCGCCTCTCTGCCAAGAGGTGTTAAACATGCTTCATCATTAAGTCTTCTGGAGTCAAGATTAGTCACTGCATTGATCAAAGTTCTTAAGCCTTTTGAAGTTGTTTTCCTTTATAATGTTGTAGTCGATATATAAATTGTTTTGGTCCTGTTTACCTTGCTTTGCACCATATCATACAAGTCTTTATAGGTTACTGTGAATCTATCCCTCTTGAACTTATCTGCATTTATTCTCTTTATATACTTATATGTGTACCTTGTTGTCTGTTCATTCATAATCACTAATGATAATAGCATTTATATAGCACTTTGCAAATATTTTTTCATTTTATTGTCACAAAAACCCTGGCAGATAGGTGCCATTACTATCCTCACTTTATAAATGAGGAAACTGAGGCAGACAGAGGTCAAGTGATTTGCCCAGGGTCACACAGTTAGAAAGAGTCAGACTGAATTTGAACTCAAGTCTTTCTGAATCCAAGTTCAGTGCTCTAGCCACTGTACTACCCAGTTGCCTCTCAATTCATTAGGATGTAAGTAAGCTTCTTGTGAGGAGGAATTATTTTATTCTCTGTATTTGTATCCCTGACAACAGGCACAGTACATGATGAACAATGAGTTTAATGAATGCTTATTGATTGATTAT